GGTGCGCGTAGGGGAGAGAAATGTGGTGCTCGATCCCCTTTTGCACTAGGTAATCCTTCATCTCTTTGCTCCTGAATTCTGCTGCACCATCGGATTGCCAGATTTTCAGGTTCTCCCCAGACTGCTGCTGTGCGTGCGCCAGCCAGAGGCGGAATACCTCGTATGCTCTGCTGCGCGATTCCACATTCACGACCCACACATGGCGCGTTCCGACATCGATGAAGGTAAGCGTGTACATTTCGTTGTGACTCTGCAATGTCCCACGTTCAGGAAGTCACTGTACACCTTGTGTAGCTTGGGGTAACGGTTCGTCCCAGGTTCGAGCAGCGGGAACCTAGCGCGGCTTCGGGGTAGACGGTGCAGTTGCGCGGGTGTATTGCGCCTCTCACTTCGGTGCCATCTGGGCGCAGGAGCGCCCCTGGAGCAAATACTCTAGCGACGATGCAATTTTTCAGCGTTGCGCGTGAAGGGTGTCCGAGGCGCTGATGCCAGAGTGCATCGTCAGCGCGAAAGCCAGAGGTGCGCATATAGTGCGCGCGGGCTTCTTCTGGGTCTTCATCAGGTACGGGGGTAGGTTCTGCAAATGCTTCTTCTGCTGGTTCGTCTTCATCGTTGGTGGTAGTTAACTTTAGCGCCAAGAACTCTCTGTCACGAATTTTCGGAGAGGGAGATATTGGTTCCAGTGATGGTTCCAGGGATGAAGGTGGGTTCACGTTGCTCGAGAGCAGGTCCGTAAACGGTACGTCGCGGGGTTGACGGTTCGTTGCCCCAATCGATGGTGTCCCAGGGATCGCGATATTTGAGCTCCAGCTGTGACATCCCTTCCTCTGGGGGTGCATGTCGCTCAGCTTCTGCGATGGCGGCAAGTCCACGGCAGGCAATCGCGCTCGTTGACGCTATGGGTGTGCGACAATCCCTGCAGATACCATCTGGGTCAGGGTCATGCAGCGCCACTTCACGTGGGTGAGGGTGATGCGGCACCCACGGTCTTCCGTCAGGGTGCTTCCAATCCCTGCGGTGGATGTGTTCGAAGCGCAGTGGGACGAGGTCGATTAACTCATGTGAATCGCCGCTGCACTCGGGAATGTCGAAATCCAAGACGTATACTCCTTTTCCAGAGTGCGCTCTTCCGATTTGCCTGCAAAGGAAGGTCCTCGATTCGTATTGTACTAGGATGTCGCGTGTCTCTGGTCCGTGCTGTTGTCAACGCCGCAATCCATGAGTTGGGCGGCGGAAAGCAGGTTGGAATGCAGGTTCTGGACGATGAGCACATCGTTAAGCGTGATGTGCGTGCGGCTTCCCCGTGCCTTGAGCACGAAGATGTCTTGCGCGCATGCGCGTGTTTTTGGCCACTATGACGTAGGTGACCGTGGGCGTGGCGACGGTGTTGGATATGTAACGCTTCGAGCCTACCATCCGCTGGCCGCAGCAGCTATCCAGGTACCAGGTGTTGTAGTGCTTCCTATCGTCACGTGGGAGCAGCGCCAGTCGCGGCGTAACGATGTGAGGTGTGTCAAATTCAAGAAACTGCTCGCGCGAGAGCCAATTGAGTGGCGCTGCCCGCATATCAGGTATATGTGCGGAGATAACTACTACAACGGGAGCTAGGCTACGGGCTAGGCACGGGTGCTTGTGTGATCTCTGCGTTCATTGGTCCTTAGTCGTTTTCCTAGTGCACACACTGCTTGCTAATTCACGGGGCAAGTTGGCAAGAGTTTCATTAGAGAAAGTTGACAACAAAAAAGTACAAAGAAGTTGGCATTCCAAGACTACATCGGTCGACTGCCAGCGCAGCACGGTCGACCGCGTTCCAGCACGACCTGGTCGACCGCGCTCCAGCAGTGCAAGGTCGACGGCGTGCCAATGTCGCAGGCTGACGGCGTGCCAGCATTGCTCCCGCAGAACAGCAGCGCACGCGCTTTGCAGGTGCTCGCAGATGATTGGCGGGCTGAGCCTCGTCACCTGCACAACGCACACACCAAGTCATCCTCGTGCTGACGACACCACCTGATCCGCCATGTCGACCGCGGGATACCACCACCGAGGTCGGGCTCGCCAACTTCGCCTGGGCGACCGTCGCACTCCTCCGCAAAACCTCGTCACCCAGGTAACCTGGTCGACCGGGCAACCACGTCGACCAGCTACTCCTGTATGTGCCCGTCGACCTCCCAAGTCGACAGCCACCCCAAGTCGACCTCACCAGGTCGGCCACGCCCCTTGTCGACCAGCTCCGGGTCGCATCACTCCTGGTCGGCCATCTCTACGTCGACCAATACTCCTGGTCGACCAGATCCTCGTCGACCAGCGCAGTTGTCAGCCGACCGCCCAAGTCAGCTACCCGAAGTCGGCGTCACCAAGTTGACGTCCAGCTACTCGACGCCCAACTGCTCGGCGTCCTTAGTCGGGGTCGACGTCGGCCCCTCCTTCGTCGACCACCAGGTCACGTCGACCACCAGCAAGTCCGTTAGCCGACCACCCAAGTCGGCTGCCCCCAAGTTGGCGTCACCAAGTTGACGCCCTCCGCAGGTCGACTTCCCTGAAGTCGGCGCCACCCTACCCTGAAGTCGGCGCCCGTGCAGTGGTCCCCGTGCAGGTCGACCTCCTCGTCAACCAGCTCGCCCACTGCTGCAGGTCGGCTGCTCCCCTCACACCCGACCACGAAGTCGGCTCCGCCCAAGCGAGGACGGGGCCAGCACACAACTCCCGTTGACAATGTGCGGGGGACTTTCAAGCAGCAGGATTGGAAGATTCCAGTCTTGGTCGTCGTCGTTGGTGAAATTGTGGCGCGGACTGAATGGGTTGTTGTTGGAGAATGCGCCAATGGGGTGCGGTGCTGGCTCAGGTGATGGTGAGCGCACGCGGCGACGATGCGACTCGCTTGTCATGGCCATGTTGCTCATGGCGTTGCGTACTTGGGCAGACGATGACGGCTGCTGCTGCTGCTGAACCGCTGGGTTCAAGTCGCGCGCGGGGGGTTGATACTCCTGGGCTGGACGCACGTCGCCTCGTGCATCTTATCGGCCAGACTAGTTGCTCGGATTGGTCTGGAGAGGGCGAGATCGGGATTTTCATCGATCTGCCAAGTGCCCGAAATGTTTGCAAATCTTACAGTAGAGGCGACGCGGCCGTCGCTCTTCGTTGTTGTCGGCGTAGAAGGCGAGCCGTTCACGTTCTCGTCACGGCGCTGGTCGCTGCTGATCCATGTGCCTTTGTTCGACGAGAAGGGCGGCGCAAAGGGCGGCCTCCGAGATGACCCCCTGCTGTCGAAGAAGCGCCTTGCAGGGCCGCCACTCTGAGCCGAGCCCTTGAAGCATGATGTTGACAAAGATTTCCTCTGATATCGAGCTTCCCAATTTCGCGATTTGATCGCGAAGACTCCAACAGCGATTAATGTAACTGTTGGCCTTCTCCCTAAGGCCATTTTAGTCTCTAGTAGATGCTGGAGCAGCCCGCTCGTAGAGACGGAGTCCTTCGGCTGATACACGCCGTTCAGGTGGCGCCAGGCGTCGAGGGCTGGAGCGGGCGAGGTTTTGTACGAACGAATGTTCAACTGCTCCGCCGGCGACATGGTGCGCAGAAGAACACCGTACGCCATCAAGGACTCGTTGTAGTACCTTGTTTTGACTTCGTCGGTGTCCTCAGCGGGCTCCGTGTAACTCCCGTCAAAGTAGTGAAAAATCTGAGCATTCTGCAGCAGGAGCTCCAGCTCGAAGCTCCAGGTATAGAAGTCTCTGCCGTCAAAACACCCACTTGTCTTTATTTTTGATATGCTGAGAATCCTTGATTGCACAGAGAGAATTGCCTCTTCACTGGGACGGGGAGTCTTGCGAGGAGGTTCCCGCGTCGCCGTTCCGCAATGTTTGGAGCCCTTGCTCCAGGCTGGTGAGTTGAGGAAGTAGTTGTGCGAGGACTTCGGTCCCGATCGTCGTCGTTTCCTCGCTTGTCGCAGCCGGGTTGGGTTGCGCTTCAGCCGTCAGATTTGTCTGACCACCAGATTCTCCGGCCATTCTTACACGCGATCGTGTGCCGGACGTCACTTTCCGAATGTCGTAGATTTCGGACATGGCAGTGCGAAAGATTCCCGAGTCGCTCTCATACCATGCTGCGATCAAAAGGTGACCGCTCCTAGGATCTCCTCAGGAAGGTTCGCACACATCTAGGTAGTGGTGGTGGGCCCTTGACCTCAATAGTAGAGTGAATGTAAAATGCTTGAGATGATTAAAACATGCAAATACAAAGATATAAATATGAGTACAGGGGAATTCGAATCGACCTAGCTAGCCACGTACTCTAAGGGGTACTTTTCTTATTCAAATTCATTCTCAACCGTGCGGCGCGTACATTTACAAAACTGTTCCCGCCAGATTCCTCTTGCTTGCAGCTGCCCAATGTCGTCTGCTACGACGGTCCAGATGCACCCTAACCGTCTGTCGCTTCGAGTCAATTCTGACTCCTCGCATTCATTCTTGATACTGCGTGCTTCCCCCAGCTGCGGTTAGGAATGCACAGTAATGTTTCATTCATTATTCGTAACTATCTCTGCCCTCCTCTCATACCTACCCTCCTCTTATGCGTGTCCTCCTCTTATGCCTATCTTTGTCTCATTTATGCCAAACCAAGGTGTTTTTTCCATGCACCTCACCTGCCCTTTTCCCATGCCGTCAAGGGCCCACGTCTTCCTCTTCACCTCTGTTCCCCACCCCAATGAAGAAAATGCTCGCGTGATGGTCTCTACCAAATCACTGCCACTCATGCACCTTGGATTAGGTGATACGGCATGCAATTTTGTACACACAAACAACGTTCTTTCCATATTCTTTGGATTACAAGGATCACAATCTAGACAACCTGCTGCATCCAAACCCAGGCACGCACGCTGCATCTACGCCCCCCCACATGCACATGGTCTCTTCCCCAAGCAGCCGTGCACCTGCTTCACTCCACACATCCATTTCTCTCTAGCACGCATGTTGAGTCGTGCACAATCACCATTCCATGCCTCACTGCTCCCATGCATGCCCACCCACATACTTCACACCCCCTGCCTTCACCCCTTCTTCCCTCTCACTCTAGTCACAACTCTTCCATCATCACACCCTGCCATCCTACTTGCCTAAACGCCTGTGTACATTATCATAAAAAAGGCACCCCCCTTCTGGAGGACAGAGATACGTCATCTTGGTCAAGGCAGTCAGCTGCTCCAGCCCATCATTTGTGACTGCCGTTCCATTCAGCCAAAGCTTCTCTAGCTCAATGAGCCTCCCCACATCCGCCATGCCAGCATTTGTCACACCCTTGCACTCACCAAGCCCTAGTTCTTTAAGAGAGGAAATATGTGTCAAGTGCGGCAAAATAGCATCAGTCACCTTGGTTCGCGTGAGATATAGGTGTTTGAGACTAACCATGGTCCCAATGCCTTCCAAGGCAATGTCCGAGACGTCTGTGTCGTTGAGGTTTAGCGTCTCCAGCCATGGCATCCTGTAGAGGTGCTTGATACCCTCTGCACTAAAGCCTGAGCTACAATACAAGATAATACCCTTCAGATGCGTCATTGTGGACACATGGGCGAGGATGGCGTCTGAGAGGCCGTTGAGATGCATCAAACTCATATCAGTAACTCGTGATGCCGACTTCATTCTCTGGAGGTGATGAATGACGAGGGAATGAATGACAAGAAAAAGAATGACCACTGTGACAACATTAAACAAAGCATGCCCTGTCAATCAATGCATGCCCTGTCAAACAGTTCACTCGCACGTACCTCCCATGCAGTCTTCAGGTCACCTTCACTTTGGCTGATTCCCTTTTCAACATTCACCCAATTCCTGCGGGCTGCCAATTCCTCCATAACCCCTGGCCAATTCAGCTCCTGCACCTCCCTCCTCCTCTCCTCCCTCTCCCTTTCCAGTCCGGCTCTCATTTCATCCCGTCCTTTTCTGGCCTCGTCTCGAATCTCTCTTGAAACCAATTCTAGTTTTCTGTCAGCCATATCCCATTTCTCTGTCATAGCATCCTTGTGTTCAAAAAGCTCCCCCTTCATTGCAGCCAACTCTACAGTCAGCGCTCCCTTCACAGCTGCCAACTTCGCAATCAGCTCTCGCTCCCTGTCCTCCACCTGCAGTCTCATCTCCCTCTTGTCCACCACTCGTTTCTTATCAGCCTCCTCTAACGCCCTTCTTGTCTCTTCCACCTGTCCGTGCAGCTCTCTCAAGTTCTCTGCCTTTCTCCTACCAGCCTCCTCTAACGCCCTCCTTGTCTCTTCCACCTGTCCGCGCAGCTCTCTCAAGTTCTCTGCCTTTCTCCTATCAGCCACCTCTAACGCCCGCCTTGTCTCTTCCACCTGTCCGCGCAGCTCTCTCAAGTTCTCTGCATTTTTCTTATCAGCCTCCTCTAACGCCCTCCTTGTCTCTTCCACCTGTCCGCGCAGCTCTCTCAAGTTCTCTGCATTTTTCTTATCAGCCTCCTCTAACACCCTCCTTGTCTCTTCCACCTGCACGCCCAACGCCCCTATTCTCATCTCCATCGCCTCTTGTGTTCCAACCATCCTCAAAATGACAGTAATGACAACCTTACCCAGTTTCGCAACCCTAGAACTGACATGCTTCCTGGACATGGCAGCAGGGATGGAGATGAGGAGAAGGGGAAGTTAGGGGGCATTACTGCAAGAGGAGAACTGGAAGAAAGAGGAAGTCTGGACAGCAAGGGTGTAAACGAGCAGCAAGAACCCAGCTTTATGAATAAAGAAACATGCAAAAGAAGATGCTGATTCTAATGTCAAATGAGAAGAAAACGCACGAAGTTTATTCTAAAACACAGGACTTGGATACGAAAACTGCTGACGGAAATGAGAAACGGCAAGAACGAGATGATGAGATGTCCAGTAAAGACAGTAGCGAATGAGACAAATAGAGCAGTCAGCGAGCATGAGATGTCGGTAGAGGATGATGTGTGGGTATCACACGCCAACATATGATCAGTACAGAAACAATACACTGTACACCATGACATGCACATCAACAAACACATATCTAAGGTGAAAGGACATGCTCATACGTAGCATGAGGATGGGATAGAACGATGGTGAGGAAGGGCATGCTCACAAGGAACTGTGCAGCCAAGGTAAGATTCCACGTGGCTGCAGCACGGTGGACAAGCCGAGGAAGGGAAGAGGGATGACGGAAGTGGAGGAGAGCAGAGGATGAGGGACGGAAGAGCAATGCAGCAGCATGAGAAACATGCGTAAGGGCACAAACGAAAGGTGGGCGAGAGCTGAAAAGGAAGGGGGGGAGAGGTTTAGCAAAGCGATAAGCCTGCAGAGTTGAGACAAGGGAGGGAGACGAGCAGCAGCATGGGGGAGATGAGTGCGCACAAAAGGGAGGGAGAGCCCATGGGAAGAGGGGACAGGGAGGGAGATGAAAGACTGGCAGAGAAGCAAAGCTGCACGGTTAGAGAGCAGAGCACACAGCATACCACGAGGCCCTTGCTTGCACTCTTCAGCTTCATCAGCCCAGCCATCACAGCCAAGCCCTGCTGATGCACCCATGCTCTGACTTGTATGAGGGTCCCACCCATCCACCACAACAGTGCTACAAGCGTGGTGATGGCAGAATACAGTAGATGAATTGAACCCGGGAACTGCAGACGAGGAACAATATGCCGGGGGCATAAGCCGTGGTGGCACTTGAGAAAGAAGATAAGGGAGGGCAAGGTTACAATTGCAAGGAAAAAACTGAGATAAGATATTCTGACACAGATCTTGGTTGCAGAAGGGTAGCAAACTCAGAAGCCTCTGTTTTCCCAAAACGCACCAGGGTGTGTAGGGAGTGAAAAGGCACGTCGAGAGCGTGGGCATGCTGAGAGGCAGCAATTGCGTGGGTATTACCGGGAGTTCCGGGCGTAGCCTTTGCCTGAGACGCAGAAAACAATTTCATGCAAGAAAAGAGGAAGAGTGCACACAAACTCATGCAAATCCACGCAGACAGAAATATAAGATTCACTAATCCTGCATAAGCGACTGAAATGTGCGGCATGATAGAGCTTACATGCCGGAGGGAAGGAGAGGGCAGCATGGGAGTGTGATTGACTTGCTGGCTGTCAGTGTCACGTGGTAGCTGCAGAGGCAACAAGCAGGGAAGGAGAGCAGCATAAAGAGGACAGGGGCAAGCTGTGAGCGATGGAAGGACTTATTGCAAGAATCATGGCACGGCACGACGATGTGTCAGCATGGCATGGCAGTGACCACTCACGTCCTTGGGGATTGGGGCATGGGAATAAAGATCCCTGCCAAGTGGCACAACGGCAATGACTGAGATGGCAGCGCCAAGAAAGAAAGCCATCAGAAATCCTGCCATCATCACGGCCACTGCAGTCATCTGAGCCATGGCTGATGGGGCACGCCGAATGCAAAACGTCGTCTGCACAGTGAGGTACGGCAGGAGCAGGGGAGGGAGCGGTGGAGCAGTAGGGCAAGTGGGGGGAGGTGGGGTAGAGGCAGAATGAGTGGCAGAGCAACTGGGCTGCACAGAGAGGTGTGACAGGGAAATTGAGGGGAGGGGAGTTGGACGAGCAGGGGAGGGGAGGAGAGGCAGTAGCAGGAGAAGACGACAGCAGGTAGGAAGGAACAAGTGCAAGGTTGGGTACTGAGTGTATGGTGGGGCGAGGTGTGAAGTTTGGGAGACAAAAAGCACCAACATGCAGCACTGATTGAAACCCTCTAGCGAGACCATTGCCGGCTTGAAATGCAAAAAGAGCAGAAGCAGAATAAGAAACGCATGAAGCTGAATAAGTTTCTCAGAACAATGTATCGCCACTCTGAATCCTTGCCAAGTTTGTCCAATAAGTCGGAGCGACCACAAGCAGAGAGTGCAGATTAATTACAGCGACGCAAGGATGGAAGGTAGATGGCACGAAGGGCGACCAGGTGTAACATATGGCACCGTAAGAAAACAGCAGAAGAGAAACGGTGGAGTAGGGCAGTAGAGAACAAACCTAGGAAATGGTGGGAAGTTATCGCGAGTCAAGCGGTTCCGGATCCAAGTGTGCTGGGAACCAGAGGGGGAGACGAGCGGAAAAGGCCAGCACGGCGATCATGTGACGAGGGGACTAGAGTGAGACGAATGGACTAGGTAGCTTCTGAGCACTCGCAAAGGTTTTAGACGCGCGAGGAGGATCGACGGCTTTGTGCCATAACCGCGAGGACAACCATCAACGGTGAGGTGCGCCGAGAACGAGGCGCGTGTGGCAGCGGTGGGCTGATGGGAGCATACCTTGCCACCCGGCTGGTGACGTGATCTCACGGCGGTGTTACGATCGAAACTCTCGACCGGCGCACCGCGGACAGACACCGACACGGTATGCGCGCAAAAGACCACTGGGGAGGAGAAATTGAGTCGGCATTATGATGTGCGCGACTGACGTGGTCGTCCTGCTGATCGCCATCAATTGGAGTGTAACCGACCCCGATTTTTCCTGGATGTCACATCGTTTCAATAGAGTCACTTGATCGCCACATTCAAGCGGCCCGACCTCAGCATGGACTACCTAAACTCTTGACCCGCGACGTTTCCTACGAGGCCATCTGTGGCGTCGTTTTGATAGCCTCACTGATTGCCAGGTTATTTCCGTTGGACATTCATCTCAATTGCAAGAGGGCGACACTTGTCAAGGCGTTCCATGTTGACTAATGTCAATTGAGTGAGCGAGGCGAGAGTTACGGGTGCAATTGAGTGAAGATTGCGCAGAGGAGTCAAACGAGTACAAATGTGAGCGAACTTTTGAGCTAACATTTATAGCAAAAGCAGAAATACCCTTTGGTATGTAGACCGCAGCTTTAAAGCAAGGGTGCACATTCCTGGGGGTGGTTTTTGGGGGCATTGTTAGAGCACACCCTTTGATGGGGTCTGATTGGACAACGAAATTATTTGGGTACGGAAAGCTGGTGCGAGGGTGTTTCGCGTCGAACTCCCAACACAAACATGGTAACCACGTGGAGGCAAGTGATAAACCTTTGCCACCACCCCCCCCCCCCCCCCAAAGTGCACCCTTGCTTTAAAACCCAACCCCCGAAACACTGTTACGGGTGCAAAGGATCGAGGTAGCGAGGATTGCACTAGTGTTATGAGTTGTACGAAAGAAGAGTGCGCAGAATGCAATATCGCGGAAGTGATTACAACTACTGAGCAAACAACGAGGCCTAGGTATAGTACAGCAAGGCTAGCTAGGCCGAGTTCGCGGAGTCGCGCGATGGTTGGGTGCAGGTTTGGGGTTGGGAAACCCGAAGGCGACGCGAGGGACGTTCGGAAGGCGAGGACGTCGGACCGAGCCTGAACTCTGGAAAGTTAAAATCGTACGCGTACAGAGTGCCTCAGTAAGGAATTAGGAAATTTCTTTACACTACCCCCCCTGTTAAGAAAGGTGGTCAATATCAGGCACGCGTTGGCGGGAAAGATAATCAAGTAGTACTGAGTGACCTTGTAGTGAGTCAGTCGGAACCCACGTGTCATCTTCGCTTGTGCGATCCACCCATCGTAGAAGGAAGTCGACGTGGTGTCCAGCCGGGGTCGCACGGATGCGATGATTAAGAATCTTCCAGGGTTGAAGTGTCGGGTCTGCTCGAACACTTGGCGCGATGTTGGGGCGGGCGATGTCGGACGGCTGCGTAACCACGTAATGGCGGAGCAAGCTGACGTGGAAAGGGTCAAGAATTTTCCAGTCGTCTGGTAGCAGAAGTTTCGCCATGACTTGGGCCAACGTCCGAATGATGCGGAACGGTCCCACGTAACGGGGATGCAGTTTAGCTGGTTGGGGCAGCCGAAGATTTTTCGTGTCCAGAACGACCATCTGCCCGTCACGGAAGGATAAGTTCCGTCGATGTCTGTTAGCGTAGCGGCTGGCAACGATATTAGCTTTCCGAATAAATTCCGCTACTTTGTCGCGAGCTGTTTGGAGTTTCGAGACGAATTGTTGCGACCGTGGTACCGGGTTTTCGGGAGTCGTTGAAGAGGGTACCACAGGGTTGTGAAAGAAAGAACGAGAATGGATTGACTATGAACGAAGTGAGTACAAATAGGAAACCCTAATTGGGTTGTACCCCCTATGGGATACCCCACTATAGCCTACACAAATAAGTAAGCTATAATGTTCTCACACACCCCCATAGGCAAAGTGGGGAAGAACAAGGGGTCACAAGACCAGTCAAGCAAAGCAAAGCAAAGCTCAGGGTGGATCACAAAGTCACCACACATTCCGAGCACAAGTTCAAAGGCCACAAGGCCAGTTCACATGCAAGATCATATATAGAGATATACAAGAGTCAAGCAAGCAAGAACAAGAGTATATATAGGTAAAGGTACAAGCAAGGTCAAGAAGTGAGCAAGTGAGGCAAGATAGGCACAAGACCCAGCTGCGTGCAGCAACGCTGATGATCACAAGGCGCAAGTGCCTTGGTGAAGACATCGGCAGTGTTGGCCTCAGAGGCCACGTACGCAAGTCGCAACTGTCCACGCTGGTGTAGCTCACGAGCAAGGAAGTAGCGGAGAGCAATGTGCTTTGTCCTGTGCTCCAGTCGCTGCTCTCGACACAAGGCCAGCATGGCCTTGTTGTCTACGTACAGGACTGGAGGAGAACGAGGCGGCTCTCCAAGGTCGGTCAGCAGGTAGGTGAGCCAGCGTAACTCCTGTGCAGCCATAGCCCCGGCGTAGATCTCAGCCTCACAACTGGAGCCGAGAACAGAAGACGAGCGAGTAGCCCGCCAAAAACAGAGTCAGAACCAAGGCCGAAGGAGTAACCCTGTGACGACCGCTGCGTAGCCTGGTCGTCAGCCCAAGAAGCGTCCGCGTGCCCAGTGAGGACCACTGGACTGCGCCCTCCAAGCACTAGCCCCATGCCCGATGTACTGCACAAGTAGCGCAACACCCTCTTCGCTGCAGCCATGTGCTCTGGTCGGTGTCTCCCAGGAGCAACATAGCGTGCGAGAATGCTGAGAGGGTATGCAAGGTCAGGTCGTGTGCAGGTCATCAGGTACATGAGGCAGCCAACAAGCTCTGGGTACGGACCACTCGACTCTACGGACTCATCCGAAGGCAGAGCTGAGAGCGAGTGGCGAGTAGACAGAGGAGTGGCCTGAGGCGAGGAGTACGTGAAGCCGAAGCGCTGAAGGACCTGCTGCACCATGTGTGACTGAGTCAGGGTAATGGTGCGGCGTGCTCTGTCCCGGGTGATCTGCAAGCCAAGGTAGCTGCGCAGTTCACCCAGGTCAGTGCACGTGTGTCTCTTCTGCAGCTCGGACTTCACGTAGGCGAGTCCAGCAGTGTCCGCTGTGGCAAAGACCAAGTCGTCGACGTACACGAGGATGTAGAACGGCGGCAGAGAGGTGTCGGTGCGCAGAAACAGCGACGGGTCGGCAGTAGAAGGAGCAAACCCAAGTGCCGCAAGCGTAGTCCTCAGTGTGTCGTGCCACTCACGTGGCGCCTGGCGGAGATCGTAGACTAGACGCCGGAGACTCCACTGGGTACCAGGAGGGAAAGACCCAGTGAAGCCAGGTGGGCGACGTAGCTAGATCTCCTCGTGCAGGCTGCCCTGCAAGAAAGCTGTGCTGAAGTCGAGAGAGTGCAGCTCGTAGTCGCGGTGAGCAGCAACGTGCAGCAGTACCCGAAGAGTGGTCATCTTTGGGGTGGGGGAGAAGGTCTGAAAGTAGTCAACTCCCTGCCGCTGACTGAAGCCACGAGCCACGTAACGCGCCTTGAAGACAGGCGGAGAGCCCGGCGGTCGCTTCACCCTGAAGATCCACATGCCACTCACGATGTTCGCCCCTGGAGGGGGAACAGCGTCAACGTAGGTGCCTGTGGAATTCCATGAAGCCATCTCTGCATCCATAGCTGCCTGCCACTGAGAGGAGTAGGGACCCTCTATCGCCTCCGCGTAAGAGCGCGGAGTCGGGATGTCTAGTGCATCCGGGTCTCCCTCAGGGGCGAGCAGTACAGACGCGAGATGAGGTGAAGCGGCAGCCATACACTGGAACTCCTCCTGCCTGTCCTCAAGGACGTCCGTGCCTAGGGCACACTCACCCCCGACGGACGGAGGACAGGCAGACTCAGACTCAGCGAAAAGACTAGCAGCGTAGTCTAGACGACAGCGCGCAGCAAAGTCGACAAGCTCAGTGACAAGGGCAGACGTAGCAGAAGACTCGAAGGAAGGGTCAGTGACAGCAGTAGCAAGGAGACGCGTGACAGTGGGACTGGCAGCACGAAGATAGTCCGACTCCGGGTCGGCAAGAGCAGGAAGAGAGGAAGCAGGAGGAGAAGGCAAAGGGGCACGCAGAGGAGCAGTGGACGGACGTAGAGACATCCGGTGCGTGCCAGGGACAGGAGGAGGACGGTGACGC